TGTGGCCACTAATGTAAAAATGCGGCCAAGTGCGAGTCGGATTAGCTCATGAAGGGTTCCGTAGTAAATTTTTTTACTTTCAGTTCTAAGTATGGGGAACTTTCAAAATTTATTGTTTTTTTTTTCTATTTTTGTGTGAAAATCTTAATGCGGTTCACAGAATACATCTACTTACCAAGTTTCAACAGCATAGTTCTTATAGTTTCGGAAAAAATGGCTGTGAGATACGGACGGACAGACCGACAGACATGACGAATCTATAAGGGTTCCGTTTTTTGCCATTTTGGCTACGGAACCCTAAAAAGACAAATAATTTAATGTCACCTTCTCGAATTTCGCCAATCTACAATTACATATGTATAATCGTTGTGCATCGATGTTAAACTTTCTAGTTGCGCGAACAACCGGTGCGTACTTGAAGATATTTTCACGAGCAACTGGTAGGTCCAGCAACCCTCCCCTCAGCCCTCGTTGCAGCCAAGGATTAGGCACGAGGAACCGCAGTGATTCCAGAATTTCTAGATGGTTTAATCTACCACGTAAGATCAAGAATAATATGTACTTGAGTAGCGCAAAGTTCCGTCTAACCTCCAACTTATAATATCCAACCATTCCTATTACAAAAACGTTTGGATACACAGAGCCCGATCTAAGGGGAGGGGGGGAGGAAACCGGGGATTTGCCCAGAGCGGCAAAGAATTAGGGGCGGCAAAATTGACTTATTCCTATCTTACCAATTAGCCATTAGCTATCCACCACCCAAGTTGGCAGGTTGAGAATTTTATGTGCCACCTTCCAACCTACTTAATAATTATGTAGTAAATGTATAATGTAGTATACTGCTAATAATTAGAAGCAATTATGTCATTTTCGAATGGCTATGCTGGCGGCATTGGCCGAATTACGCCTCAACATCTTAAAGATCTTGTAAGCGCTTCTGCCGGTGACGCCGGCGGAGTACTTCTTAAAGGCATTACAAAATTATGTAACTTTATGCTTTCTGGTAATGTTAATCCAAATTTCATTGCAGGCTAATAATCTCTAACCTTAAGACTAAATTTCAGCCTACTCAACTAGGCTTTGGCACTCGAGGTGGCTGCGATGTGGCTGTGATGTGGCTGTACATTCAGTGCGTACATTTTTAACAAACTCTGATGCAGATGTTCTTGTGAAGGTTGACCTAAGGAATGCTTTTAACTCTATCGATAGGGTAACCTTGCTGAAAGAAGTGGCTAACAATACCCCTGAAATTTATCATTACGTTTGGCAATGTTATAGTCAAAATACTACCTTTTTTACGAAAACCATGTTATCGATTCTGCTATCAGTGTTCACCAGGGTGATCCACTGGGTCCAGCACTATTCAGTTTGGGAATTCAACCCATCATTTCAAATTTGAAATCCAAGCTGAATGTCTGGTACCTAGACGACGGTACACTGGGAGGTAGAGCAGATGACGTCCTCAGTGATCTTACTCATATTTTTCGAAATTTCAAAAATATTGGTCTTGAACCAAATAGCAATTAATGTGAAATATTTTTTTCCAATAATTTATCTACTTCTCATATAGACACTTTAATTCAAAATTTCAATCATATTTGTCCAGGAATAAAAACTGTCAGTACGGAATCACTATACCTGCTAGGTGCCCCGTTGTTTTTCGATAGTATTAAACCTGTTTTAAAAACACAATTTGATCAGTTTTTAACCACGTTGATAAATTGTATAAATTAAGCCCCCACATAGCTCTTACTATTTTAAAATATTGTCTTCTTATACCTAGATTTACATACTTACTCCGCTCGAGTCCAGTCTGGAAATGTTCGAATATTTTAAAAGATATTGATTATAATCTTAAAATAGCTATAGAAAAATTTCTAAATTTAACTTTAAATACAACAGCCTGGACTCAAGCTACTTTACCTATAAAATTTGGTGGCATTGGTGTTAGAAATCTTTCTAGCGTTGCATTGCCTGCTTTCCTTGCTTCCGTGCATAGTGTCAGTGACTTATGTAACATAATTTTAAATAATAAAGTAGACCTATGCTTTGCTACGGACGCAGGGCAGACATGGCAAACGCTCTGTCCTGGTGAAAATGTTCCACTGGAAGTTAACTAACAAAAACAGTGGGATATTCCGTTGGTACAGGGCGTGCAGAAAGATTTGTTTCATAATTTCCATAGTGTCCAAGATAAGGCACGCCTTCTAGCTGTTTCGACTAAGGAATCTAATCACTGGTTACACGCTTTACCATCAAATAATCTCGGCACATTACTTGATGGGGAAAGCTTGCGCATTGCCGTAGGAATCCGACTGGGAGCGGCGATTTGTCAACCCCATCAGTGCCCCTGTGGTAGCAGCGTCGACAAATTTTTGCTCCACGGACTTTCATGCAAGAAAAGTGCTGGTAGGTTTTCACGACACATTTCTTTGAACGATGTCATCCGAAGGGCTCTTGTCTCTATAAATGTTCCCTCGGTTTTAGAGCCTTGTGGAATATTTAGAGACTATGGCAGGAGACTCGACGGTATCACATTGGTCCCTTGGGAGAGAGATAAAGCCCTAGTGTGGGATGCTCCTTGCATAGACACTCTGGCGGCCTCTCATGTCAGGGGTACCTCGCTTAGAGCCGGGGCGGCATCAGAGGCAACTGAACTGAGTAAGTGGCGCAAATATGAGTCTCTGAGAGATGACTATATATTTGTGCCATATCGCTCAAAGGCTAAGTATAGCCATTCAGCCGGAAAACGCAGCCAGCGTTCTTGGCACGCTACCGCGGGGAGTAGGACTATATGATAATTAAGTTTCTAGTTTTAATTTTTTTAATTATTATACTTATTAAAAATGTTTAAATATATCAAATGTTATAAAAAAAAAACTTCAAGTTGCATAGTGGAAATATTTAAGTATTTTACTTAACTGAATTATTTTAGTTCGAAAGAGAGAAAGAAGAAGTAGAGATCTGCAAAAAGTAGCGATACTTGAGTAGTATCGATACTTTTATAAGTACTCAATACTTTTAACAAAATTTGAGTCACATCATTAGATTTGGGTCGTAGGAGTAGGGGATTACCCTTCTATAGATAATAGCTTATGTTTAGAGCGTGTGTTGCCAGTTTCTCATGATTGGTACCTATTTAGTATATTTATTTTTATGTATAATGATTTAATGCAGTTTAATTCTAATTTACTTTTTTACTGTTGTTCTAATTTATTTTTGTACCGTCAATTTAATACGTCGAAATTGAAATTTAGTTAGTTTGATACCATTATTAAGTGTCTCATTGGTGATAAGTTCCGAACTCCCAATTCCGAAATTTCTCGGATAATATTTGATATTACGGATGTTACTCGATCGGAAGTTTTAAAAATTAATTGAAAAGTACTCGATACCTAACAATATTGATTATTTTGTTTCGATACCTTTCTCGGTATCGATAAATCTGATACGATACTGGTATCGAGTAATGTATCAATACTTTTGAAATTTTGTGGAACACTAAGAAGAAGAAATACCTTAATAGGAAATAAGGAACCAACTAGACTATTACTTAGAAACTAGAATCCAAAAAAAAATCATTCGTATTTTCTGACGATTTTTCATATCTGGAATTCTGAACTGGCAACCCGTTCAGTCTGTTTATGTTTGATGGGGATTTCTCTCAAACTTTCGGAGGAATACCCTTGAGCTACATTCGTACAAGGTGACATTTTAGGGGAATCCCTTAAATATCGTATACCTAAGCAAAAGATTGTACATTTTTTTTATTACTTATTTAGAAGACTCCTAGTAAAAATGTTCTGCCCTAGAGACAAATGTAATGTAACATTTTTCACGAGTATGACGAAAATTTGTTTCTAGGGCAGAACATTTTTACTAGGAGTCTTTTAAATAAGTAATAAAATAAAAAGTACTAACTTTTGCTTAGGTATACGATATTTAAGGGATTCCCCTAAAAAGTCACGTTGAACATAGGCCTCCCTCATAGATTACCTCATATATACGAGTATATGCCATAGCTATTAGGATATTTGCCATAGCTGCCGCGGGGTCGGCAACCGCAGTTTTTTTATTTTTAGTCGTTATCAGGAAGACGCTGCTGCGCATCTCCTGATTTGTTTCCCTCTGTCTCCTCTTAAGACATCCATGGGATGATACGGGGTAGTGGATATTCTTACTAACTTAAAGCTTACTTAAAAAAAATTGCTGTTAATAATTTCATTGGTGTGAGCGGGTGTCGATTGCAGGTTGCTCGCGCATAGTGAAATATTCGAACAGCGCTAAGCTACTGAGTTACCACAGCCCTAATGGATGCCATACACGATCCAGTTTACCGTCAAGTATGCAGCACGCTTGAAGCGGCGTAAAGTTTGCAGTAGTAAGCCATATAGACGTTCAAGTTCGCCGTCAAGTTTGCATGATGTCGCATCAGTTGAAACCATGGCATCTCTCGCTTATTCATTCCGACTAACGTCATGCATACAAGACCGCTCATACACACGTTCAAGTTTGCATGACACTGCAACCTTGATCAAGTCGATAGAATCGAAATTAAATTTTTGCTTCAAGAAGACTTGTCATGTACACTGATAGCCACACACCGTCAAGTTTACCGGACGCCGCTTCAAGCGCGCTGCAAACTTGACGGTAAACTGGATCGTGTATTGGATGCCTAACACTAAACATATTATAAATATATCTATGAAACCGTATAGTGGCGGTCTAAGAATATGCACTACCTCATATATTCCCGTGGCTGTCGTAAGAGGCGGCAGAGGGAAACATTGCTAATTTGAACATTGCCTGCTAATTTACATACATTGAATTCTTAACATTTAAATTCCACAATAAAGGGAAGATTCATAAAATATACTCTTTGACCAATGTTATTATCAATAACAGAAATGTCCTTTAAGTTGTGATTTTTATTAATGACTCAATTAATACAATAATTTAAAAAAATCAAAATTATAACCATCTACAATCCCATAGTTAGTTCAGTCCTCTTTGGTTTCGCTATCCTCATCCTCCTTAAATGCGTCCTCTAACTTTTTACACAATGTCTTCGTGATTGACTCTACTTGGTTGACTGTCGTATTAGAAGTTATCAATTTAACGATACTCTTTTTATTTCCTGCCACCGTTTTATGTGAATATTTCTCATACAGGATGTTTTTGGATAGAAATAATAGCTTCTTTTGATTTTTAGGTGTTTTGATTTTTTGTGCTTTAGGTGTTTTACCGGTGGTTTTAACAGTTTTAGATGTGCCAGTATTATACTCCCTTTTGTTTTTGTGCGAGGCGTATTCTAACAGATTTAGAATGAAGGGTTTTTCTAATTTGATTACTGATTTAGTTTCGTTATCTAGGACTCCACAATCTTCTATACAAGCGTAGTTTTTCTGACCCTTTTTCATGACTCTTGAGTAAATAACATGATTTGTTTCATTGACAATCCTGAATATTATGGAATCTGGTAACACCTGAAAACATTGTAATACATTATAGTTTTTATTATAAAATAATTATATTTTAAATATATGTAATTCGAGACACAAGTAATTTCTACCTTCTACCTACCGGGTCCAAATGTGAATCTAAACCAATAGATATTTATATTATGCCTATAGAGAAGAGATAGAGATTATATTTTGTCAATTTTAAAGTGCGCTGAAGTAAAGCGCTAGGCTGCTTTATCGGCATGTGCATGGTAAGATGAAGCTGTAAAAGCCACCTGGCTAACAGCTCTAATATCACAGAAACTAGACGGCTTGCGCTGACGTGATTGGGATATATATACATGAAAATGGCTGAGTAAAGATTTAGTTATAATGTAATATATTAAGCCTTATTAATTCCTTATTAAAAAGATTGGCGGTCGACATCGTCTGTCAGTCAGTTTTTCAATCACAGACTACTAAGAGGATACCTACAGCACATTTTTCAAGTGATGTTTTGTAGCAATTTTTGACAAGTACAGCGCGATTGTCTATGGTAATGTAATGTGATATGTAATATGAATGCGTTTTGTAAACGGTTATATTTTTTTTTTAATATAGGATAAGGGTAACAAACGAGCACACAATCCACCTGATGGTAATTGGTTGTTGTCAGATGCGTTGTCACTCGTGAGGGCCTTGTTTCCAGTAAAAAGGGTTTCTGGTTCTTTACACTCAGCATACGAAACACAGCAGCGTTAAGCTGCTATTTTACGCTGGTATTCTGTGAGAGCATGGTCCTTCCCCGGTCGAGCCGACCCATTCGTGCTGCAACTAACCTAGTAATATAACTGCAGCATGGCTCTACCGCGTACAAAATAAATAATTATAAGTAACCAAATCATTGAAATTAAGTTTATTTTTAATACGAATTAAGGATAATATGATTGATAATTATACTTTTAATTAAGCAGAAACCGCTTACAAAGAAATAAAAAGAATGTAATCATCGAAATCGGTTTACGTGATAAAGAATTATTCGGCCATTTGTCATGTCTTTGTATATTAAAGTGTTCGAACATTTCTCAGGGATCCCATCATCAGATCTCGATCTAATTTATACGGGAGTACCCCTAAGGTATCTCCTCTCTAACAAAAACGAATCATTAAAATAATTTTTTTAAGAAATTGAATTAAAAAAATTATTTCTAGTTGATAAATTGAGATCCGTCTCGTTTTTATAGTATGTGGTCCTTTTTATAGTCTAACTTTTTTTTAATCTAACGCAATGACTAACTGTGTGTTCTTAGACTATAGTATGTTAGAAAGAAAACAAATTAATAACATACCATATATGATGTGAAAATGTGACAACTTTTCCGCCCACCACAAATGACTGCTAACGTCGTTTCCGCATCATTGTCATTATATTTTCGAGTAATTTTCCATTCGGTTTCTATAGGATTACGGCAAGTTTCTGATAAATCATTGAGATTAACCAAAGTAGGACATAAACCTGATAAATTGTTATATTGTGTATAGTACACTGTGCATATTTGATTATCATTAGTCATAGACAAAATTTCGTACGGACATGGCGGAGGCTTTTCTTCTATAACCTGTAATAAATTAATTTTATTAACCTTCGTTATTCTTATTTTATTATTTAGGTTCAGTGGCGGGTGGAAGGAAAAGGGGAGATCTTCCACCGGGCAAGGCCCGGGGAAGCTGAAGCGGCCAACGCTTCGAGTGGTAGATCTGAGCTATTCTATATATTCTGCTTTAACTTCGGAACTTTGTTAGTGCGATTTAGGCTTCGATGTTTCGCTTGTGGCGCGACGACAGCGCCGCCACAGTTCGTAATAGCGGTGTAATAATTACTACTCCATATCATCCCGTGGGAGTCGTAAGAGACGACAGAGAAACAAACCAGGGCAGCAACGTCTCCTTAATAGCATCTAGAAAAAATAAAAAACTGAGCCTGCCAAGTGTTGCAACTATGGTGAGTATACTATTACCTATTGAGGCAATTTATGGGAAGGTCTAAGTTCGGCAGTAGACTTTGATAGACTATAACGAAAATTAATCGTTAAACTGAGTTAGACATGACTCTATCCTCTGATTGGATGATGCTGTAATCAACATGCTTGACGAGCAGATTGTAGATTGCAGTGTCAGATCTAAGTTAAGATTAATCAAAATATAGAGTAAGAAAAATAATAACGATGTTCTCCAGACCGATTTTCGGTCACGTCTCAATGAAGACTAGCCATCAGCAGGTTAAGATTGTAATGATCAAGTGTGTGCGCAAGAACAGAAGCACTCTTTGTTTCCTCACTCTCATAGTCGGATGGGACTATAATCTGACACGATTGTAAATATTGTAACTTTATTTTTACGCGTTGTTTATTCGCTCATTGATATTTTATATGGAAGCTGTATTTTTCCACCCATATATTAAATAAGACCAATACATTACAACAATACGCCCTGCGAAGCGGAGCACGGCGAGCAACGTGTCCAGCCGTGGTGTGAAAATTTGAAAATACTTGCATAGGAATTCGACCCGTATTCGATGTTATCCTATTATGAATAAGGAGCAAAGTCGTATAAATAAAAAAATGCGTGAGTGTCGTGGAACACTCGGTTGGAACAAAGTTCCTTGCGTAGTATATTATTATTGATAAACGTAGGTATTATACTCGTATTATTGATTAACAAATACAAATAAATGAATTACTAGCTTATATTAAAAATGAAGCGTCATTTGAAATAAAATATCTAATATTTCTTTCATGGCAAGATAAGAAAAAGTGCGAGGGAGATGGATATTATTCCATCTCACTTCCTTATTTCGCCGCCAAGGCCGTCTACACCATGACACAAGGGGTAGTGACGAAAAAATCTTACACTTTTTGTCGCCTAACTCCCATCCGCCAAATACCCGTACCGTCCGATAAGGAACTTCGTTCCAAAAATACTTTGAAGTTCAAAGTATTTTTCATTCACAAATACGATTGAGTTTCTTATTCCTATTGACATATGGATCGTTTTCGTATACAAGTATCTTCATGTGTAGTGCTCAAGTTCTTCGAGCAACTAATAACACATACTTTCACACTTGCAAGTAATTTTTGCTCGTACCAGAGCGACGTACTTTGAAGTGAACACCTGGTTTTAAAACCTGGTAGCGTAAATACGTCTCATCTTTACGGAGCAGTACAAGAGTAGAGTGGAGCAAACCTGCACTGTACGTGCACTAGCAGTTTTATTGCGTCGCCTCAATTACTATTATGTTGCAGAACCAAGCTGCAGCTATATTATGGTTGTAGCATGAATGCATCGACTCGACCGGAGAAAGACCCCGCTTTCGCGAAACACTAGCGCAAAATAGGAGCTTAATGTCGTTGTTTCGTTTAGTGACTGTAGAGAACCGGAGACTTTTTACTGGATACGAAGCATTTTTCTTTTTTCAGGGGTGACAACGCATTTGCATTTCGATACTTAATCGAGGATAGGTGTGTATGATGGGGCATAGCATCCACTTACCATCAGGTGAGTATGTCATGAATTTTCACGTGTAATCAAAATGAAATAATATTGCATATATGTCGATTAAAATAATAAAATAAACAATTCTACCAAAAATAAAAAACGCATATTTCAAACAAAATAAAGAGCGAAAAAATTGACACGAAATAAATCACCTTGATAATGTTAGTTTACTGACCAGAAGTGACATGTAAAAGCGGCAACAGTTCCGCAGGTACTCGGTGCTCACGCGGCAACGACATAGGTAATTATTTACATACACTTTCTCGCTCATTAGTAATTAGTCAAAAAACGAAGAAAAAAAGGCTGTTGCGACTAGAATGTTAATTGTTATATACATTTTTAGTTGTGTATGTTCAAAGAACCTTATATATGATAAGTCATTTCATTTAATGTGATAACTTTATCGACACCACGTATAACTTCGGCAACAACACGGCTTCAAAAAAATTGTTCCAGTTTGTCCTTGTGCTATTTATGTTTGTAAATTGCCTCCACGATACAGGAGAAAATTCTTAGTGTGGGGGTAACGTTTTTAAAAAAATATATAAATACTATTATTTTGTAACATGTATGAGATGTTATTCTTTACGGTCAGAGTATACAGTTTATGATATTTGTTACTAATTAATATTCGTACTAATAATTGAATGAGTTTTAGATACAGTAATATATAACTCTTGTTTATAGTACTAAGTCTAGAAGACCTTAGACTTAGTACTATTATTTATTCTGTCTAGACCAGGGGCGCCTCCCCAGAGGCTGGGAGCTGAGACCGCAAAGGGGTCGCGTGACGTCTGTTAAGGTGTATGGGCGAAATATAAAGACTTAAAATTGATATCTGTTAGACTGCTCTTCTTATTTCATCTTAGATATATCTTTTTGTAATTATGAAGTAAAATCAAAATAAAAAAACACGTGTACAGTTTACACGGTATAGAAGTGAAACCTACGGAAAAAGAATACCTACCTATTTTCTTTAAAGTAAAATTGCTTTATATTGGAGGCATCTACTTCATTCTATTGTTAAAATCATTTTATCGAACAAAATTTTTTTTTAACTCTAACTAAGCTATGTAACATTGTGAACATTTCTCATGTAAATGAATTATAATTCTTTTGAGAAATAAATATCTTAAACCACAACTCTGAAGGTGGTACGTAAGCTGGGCGCTAGATGGTGGTGGCATAAACACGACTAATTTAATATAAATCGGTAAGTATTGTACTCTATCTCATTCTCTCGCAGGCTAAAACCTATAGATGTATGATAGATGTATATGTTTGTCTCTTTTTCGTTTCATCGGGTTTCAAAATACAACGATTCTAAAGAGGTTTTCCAGCAAAAAGTGATGCACATGGCTTACAAAAGACAAGATTCCTTATTTTTACGTAGAGCAATAGAATTTATTACCTGTTATTAATATCAAATATTACTTTCTACCTATACCAGTTCTAAATATGTAACAAAACTATTGATGGAAGTGTTTATAATAATAAATAATAATAATAATAAAAATGTTTTATTTCAGTAAATCTTTTTTACAATTGATTTGCCAAGGCCTCCCATAAAGTAATCCTAAGATACTTGTGTTGGGAGTGCCTCGCTCTTCCTATGCAATCATAACACTTCGATTTACATTATAATATAAAAATAGCCAAATTTGATTTAATAGAACAGAGTTACATAATTAATAGAACGAAAGGAGTTTATGAGAAATGAATACCTGAGTAGTTGAATCCGTAGTGTGTTAGTTTGAGGTGTGTGTGTGTGTGTGTGTGTGTGTGTGTGTGTGTGTGTGTGTGCGTGTGCGTGCGTGAGTGTGTCTATGTGTATGTATGTGAGTGAATGTTTTTGTTTATGTATATGTGCACGTATGTGAATGGTTGTGTATGTGTGCAAGTTTATGAATGTATCTCACCCACTGATTTGTGTTGTGTATGTGTGTTATTTACAGCAGGTTCAACTCTTTCTTACCAAAATGTCTTCCACGTCATCATAATTAAGAGTGAAGAGCCATTCGGTCAGAGTTTTTCTACACTCAAACATTTGCATGGGGTAAATCCTAATTACTTTATTGATCTTGTTATAGGCATGAGGGGCTTGAGCTATATTTTGTCGTTTATCATTCACAATCGCAAATGGCCTATTAACTGTTCATTTATTTTCAAGCAATTTAAGTTTTCCGTTTCTTTGTGAGTTTAATAAGGTTTGATTAACTACTGTAGAAATTCAAATCGTATCGTCAGATGAATCAGATATGGTGACTCAGACCAACACAGACGAAAGACGGAGCGTAGCGTACGTTTCAAGCGACGCAAAAATCAAGCCAAAGCCCTGCTCAATTTATTGTAAGAGCGCGCATTGAAGTACACATACACATCTAAAATCATCAAACAACGACAATGGACTACATCGAAAATCATTTGCAAACAACGCGCTGATAAAAAATAAAAAATAAAGATGTGTTGCCAAGTGCGTCTCAAAAAGTTCGGCGCCATTTATGCAAATGTAAGCAACGCTCCGTCTATGTTTTTAAATGGTCTGAGTATGGTGGCTTATGGCAATTTTCGCTTAGCATTTTACCGGTGTGTAGTGGCCGCAAAAGAATATGTACACTACCCCATATCATTCCGTGGATGTCGGAAGAGGTGACAGAGGGAAATAAACAGGACATGGGCAGCATCATTTGCCTGATAACAACTAAAAATACAAAAATCTGCGTGAGTCAACCCGCCTACCAACAACAATATATGACAAATATTTCCCTCATGAAGTGTATATATGATATGTATTGCTGTAATGAATCAAAGAAGGCCTGCGGCCCCTTTTCCTTAAAGGGGGTCGCTTCCGATACGGCAGAAAGGCCCTCCAGGCCAAAGCCAGTCCCACAGGTGATGTTTAGTAGGTAGGCACTTCATAGTGAGTTCCACATAACTACGCAGCCGGCTGCGTGGTATGCTACGAATTAACCACCTCCTTCCCCCACTTCTCGAAGGGTAGCCCCTGGTTTGGGCGCAAAAGTAAGAATCAAAGGATAAATGTTTTTTTTTTATGTATGTTTACTGATTTTTCGAAAACGATTGATATTTATTTTTAATAGGCTATTGATTAAATGTGGTCTTATATAAATTTAAAGAAAAATTCTATATACTTAGATAGATTATATTGAGTAAACTTCACTGAAGATAAGTTATAATATCTTACCCAATATCCGCCACTGTGGCAAGTTTTACACTTCATATTTGATGCATTTTTGCATGTATAGCAAATAATTGTTTTATTTCCTCCATAATCGATTTCCCGCCAAGTTCTCCAATAAAAATCTCTTTTGTAAATATATTTAACACCTTTCATACCTAATAATGCTCTAAATGCATTTTCTATTTTATTTATTTTAACGTTGGTATTATTAATTTGTGTGTGTGGTATTCCGTCTATATAAATTGTATTATTTGAAAGTTGGTCCAACATACGAATTTTCTGATTCTCAAACTTTTTATTTAAAAAACGCCTCCGTATGTCATCAGTATCTTTTTGGAACCACTGTTCGTCGTACTCAGGTAATGAATTAACAATTTGCTCACTGGCCATTAGACTCGCTACAGTTATTAATGTTGACTTTAGCGTAAGAATTAAAATTAAACTATTATATTTGGAATACATTAGCTAAGAATATGAAATGTATGACGATAGCCTTTGCAGAAATAGCGGTAATGAGTTTGTAATTGGGTGGAATGCGACGTTATTTACCAAACAACGGACCGTTAATTGTTCTGCGATAAAATTGCTTACAATTGCAAATGACGTTGTGATGGTTAATGATCTTGCAGCCTGCGAAGCAATTTACATACAGAGTTGCTTACTCTCGTTAGTGCGTGATAGGGTCGTTAACGTATTTAACACTGCAGCTACAGTTGAACATTATGGTTGTAGCAAGTATCAGTCGGCTTGACCGGGTCAGGAACACGCTCTCACGGAATACCAGGGTAAAATAGCAGCTTAATGCTATTGTGTTTCATATTGTGAGTGTAGGAACCGGAGACCCTTTTTACTGGAAACGAGGCATTCTATTTTAGTCCTCAGAAGTGATGACGCATCTACTCTGTTTCTAATCGAATATAATATTGAAAGTAGACAAAGACAAATGTAGATATATAATGGCCACAGCATCCACTTACCATCAGGTAGAAGAGAGTGTGCTCGTTTGTCACCCTTGTACTATAAAACAAATAAAATATAAAATTATGTTAGAACGTCATACTAATGATGCATAAAAAATTTACAACCCAACAAGTATGACAATATTTGATGAGTTCGAATAGCAAATCGAAATTAACAGTGGTAGAGTCACGTGGCAGCTTTTGCTGTCGCACGGATGGGCCGGCTCGAACCGGGGTAGTACCACGACCTCACAGAAAACCAGCCTGAAGTAGAGGTTTACCTCTGCGTTTCGCTTGGTGAGTGCAGCTGGCCGGAGGCCTTTTTTACTGGAAATGAGGCATTCTATCTTAGTCCTCACGGGTGACAACGCATCTACATTTTGATTTGTAACAGAGGATAGATGTAGATGTCTATGGGCCGCAGCAACCACTTACCATCAGGTGGACTGTGTGCTCGATTGTCACCCTTATCCTATAAAAAAAAAAAAGCTATATAATTTTAAAATGAAATAGACCGATAATATAGAGACTATTATTGGTCCGTGGGGTCCACGTGCGGTGCAGTTCCTAAATGTATCCGCGACTGGCGACGGTACCAGCTGGTGATAAAAGGGCTGGTTCTTTTCTCGCTCAAACGCTAAGTATCCATTCAGCGAGGATACGAAGCCAGCGTTCTTGGCACGATACCCCGGCGAGTAGGACTCTACGATAATTTAAGTTTGAAGTTTTAGTTTTTCTTTTTTATAATTTTTTAACATCATACGTAACAAACTTAATTAAAGTGAATTTAAATTAATTCAAAATTTTTTCCTTAATAAATACTAGTAATGCCATTAAACATTACTAATATTCCTTTTAACCACTTCTGGTAAGCTTAAAATGCTTGTGTTAAAAGTGGTTCACACAGTGGTCTTTGAGACAGTAGTCACAGTAGGACAGGACCCACGACCTTTCGAGTTCGCGGTCTGCGCCCTGCCATTACTGGGTACTGACGCTTCCGAACTTCAACTCAGAGTTAGGTATAAACAGTCTATATACATCTCACTCTTGGACACAGGCCTTCTCTCAATTTTGAAAGGGTTTTTAGGGCAAAGAAATGTCCGCCGCGCTGCACCAATGCTTTTCCAAACCTAGAGGTTTCCTCACCATGTTTTACTTCGCCGTTAAGCACGTGGTAATTTTTTAACATACATTTACGTAGTAGAGCCATTCTGCAGCTATATTAGTAGTATAGTTGTAGCACGAATGGGTCGGCTCGACCGGGGTACGACCACGCTCTCACAGAATACCAGCGTAAAATAGCAGCTTCACGCTGCTGTGTTTCGTATGGTGAATGCAGAGAACCGGAGACCCTTTTTACTGGAAATGAGGCATTCCATCTTAGTCCTCACGGGTGACAACGCATCTGCATTTTGATTTGTAATAGAGGATTAGTGTTGCCCAAATGCAAGAACAAGACGAGATTTACCCAGTCTTGGTCTTGGTCTTGCGCCAATACACCTGGTCTTGGTCTTGGTATTGCACTCCCAGTCTTGGTCTTGGTCTTGGTCTTGCAGCAAGAGTCTCGCAATTACCTATTAGCCTATTGCTATTTATTAAACGTTACTTTAGATCTTAGAACAACTTAACAGAGTAAGTACATTTTGAGCTTGAATTAACATAGCCATAGTAAAGACCAACCAAATTATTAAATATCTAAATATTTAATAAAAAAATTCGAAAAATCAACTGACACTGGGTGGGGCTTGAACCCACGACCTAAGCGATCCGTGTTGATGCTCTAACCAACTGAGCCGGAGACCCATTTTACTGGAAAAGAGGCATTCCATCTTAGTCTTTACGGGTGACGACGCATTTGCATTTTGATTCTTTATTGAGGATAAATGTTGATTTCTATGGGTCACAGCAACTACTTACTACCTCTGTGGTCGTTTGTCACCCTATCCTATAAAAAAAAAGAAAAAAGTTATCTACCGTGTCCCACGGCGACAGGTGTCAGTCTGTTACTTATTAAATGTTTACATTTAATAAGTTTATATGTGCTTAGATTTTTAAGCTATATGTGCTAAAACATGGTTATTTTAAAGAACATTATCTGTCTAGAAAGAGCTTGGTAACCCTCATCTTATACGAAATGGAATAACAGAGTTATACAATTTACCATTTATTTAAATAATAAATAAAATACAATACAAATTAAATTACATAACAGTACACAATAGCTTTGACATTACTGTTATTTTACACTACCTTAATTAATTTAAATTTGCCTAGGTACGTTACTTGCTGTATTTATTTAGGTACTTACTAACTACTAGAGTACGATAGAAGTTAATAAAACGACACTGCTAATAAATTTTTGGAAGTGTGTGATTTTAAAACACAAAATGCGTGAATATGACTTCACTCGTTCGAAATTCAAAATTTAAATGTTTTTTGTTCACGTAGGCATTATAAATACACTTTTGAATCATTGAGTTATATGTACATATATACAATTATATGTACATTTGAACATATTACGTACTAGAGAAGCCATTCCGAACATTGACTATGTTCAACTGAACTGTAGTGCAATCCATACAAACTAAATATTCCGTAAATTGAAGATTTGTGAATTCCATAAAATAATTATTTTTACATTTTATTTAGAAATATGTTTGTTTAGATTAAATTAAGATATTTTATATTAAATTCTTATATTAAATTCTTATATTAATATCTTATTTTATATCAAATTAAAGTCTTCGCGCATGCGCGACTACTACTCCCCCGCATGCGCGAAGACATAGAGTAGGACACAATTTTTGTTTGGAATGGCTTCTCTAGTACGTAGTACATATAACTCAATGATTTGAGTAGTCATATAATCACTGTTTTCCCCAAAATTTCTTTTCCATGTTCAGTGGTGCTGATTTTCATGGAAGAAAGTAAGAAACTCAGTAGTTGATCTTTTCAAAATATTTTTACAATAGTACTATAATTATGTAAAGCGATAAGTCAAACATAAAATATCAAATGTATATGTAGATACCAAATCGGTATAGAAATTTCTAGTTAGTCCTGTGTAGTACGAGAGGTCAGTTCCAAGCATTTTTGTCATTAAGATAATCATTTACTGAATAATATGCTTTTTTGGCTAAACAAGCTTTAATGTGCGACTTAAATTGAAAAGGTGAAAGATCTAACATTTCTTTTGGAATCTTGTTATAAAAAGCGTATACCGCTACCCAAGAATGAATTGTATACTTTTTATTTATATTATTAAAATTGTGCAAATCACTATTCTTTACATGTAAGTGAATGTTTTGTCATAGATACATGATATTTGCAAAAATATATTGTGATACAACAGTCAAGATATCAATTTCTTTAAACAGTTCTCTCAGATCATAGAATTATTTCTATGTCTCAGATATACTCGGCTCCTAAGCAGTACATAGATCTTGTTGCATGCTTTTTATTTTATATGCACACTTTTTATATTATTCGATTAGACGTTTCATATGTATTAAATGTGCCTACAATATTTATCAAATGGGTGACGACATATTCGAGCACTTTGTGTTTTAAAAACACATACTTCCAAAAATCGAGATTTGCAGTGAACTTATTGAACATGTTTATCTATTGGGTAATAATAATAATAATAATAGTTAGTAATTATTATAAACCCATATAGTTAATATTATAATAATCCTTACTAGAATAAATTATTATGATATCTACCTATCCTTACCACTATCTAATTACAATACCCCTTCCGAGATCAGTATAATGTATTAGTCTTCATTTTGAGAACCCGGAAACTTATTTTATTCTTTTGAACATATACTCTGTGGCGGCAATCAAACAGTGTCAAATGTAGAGCGTGCGGCGCGGCGGCGACGATTGTATGCGATATCAATAGAAGACGCCGGCGCGTGTATCTTGACCTTGTACTTCCAAATAGCTGTAAATTTCTTTGACAGGTCAGTATCCGACCTTTGATGATGCCGACAACAAGACGCCGCGCACTATCAAAGTGCCAATGTTCAAAACTAGGGCTGCACTCTTTTTTCCTTTTAATAGATATTTTCATTCGCTAGGTATGTTTATGGTATTGTTCGTATTGCGAATAACTCCAATTTTCCATTTTTTTTAATATATTTTTTGCGCCTCATAGAGTCGCTAAGAGTATACCCGAACTCCTATACTCCCTGAAACGACACTCAGTCCTAACTGCAAGAGGCAAGAGTCTCGCAGGCTTAGTCTTGTTCTTGCTCAAATCTTGCAGGGTCAGTCTTGGTCTTGGTCTTGCTAAAATTAGGCGGTCTTGGTCTTGGTCTTGTTCTTGCAAAAATGCAATAACAAGACCAAGACCAAGATAAGATCTATAGAGGATAGATATAGACGTCTATGGGCCACAGCAACCATTTACCATCAGGTGGACTGTGTGCTCGTTTGTCACCCTATCCTTTAAAAAAATATTGATAATACCGTATACTTTCTAGTCCAGTAGCT